TTCTTCCAGAATATTTCTCGGTAAATTATCTTAAATAAATCGTATATATAATTTCATATTTATTTCCACTCGAGGAAAAGATTTTTTGAAAAAATGTTCACGACACAAGAAGTCACTGATAATAAGAAAAGGGCCAATTCAGCGTCGACCATACCATTGATGTATACAAGATAAAAGAATCTATCTCTTCGAGATACAAAATCTTGAATAAATAAAGGATAGATAATAGATAAATCAATAAGAACAATATAAGATCATCGGGTGCATAGATTCTTTTTTAAGAATTGATTAATTTGCTCACATAATTGAACAAATATCTTTTCTCTTTCATAAATTCTAATATTATTGTAAGAAAAAAACGTATTACCTTTTTCTCATATTATTTAATGCTTATTATATATTTATACTTAAAGTACATTAAGTAATATGATGGATATGATAGATATCTAATGCAATTTTTTAATTTAAAAAACATTTTTAGTCGATACCTAAATATTTAATATACAAAGTTATATTTGTATCACGATAAATTTTTATACCCTTGAATTTAAAGGAGACACTACTGTTGCAAGAAATTTTGTGGTTAAACGCAACGTGACGTATCGTAAAAATTAATGCGCACAGATACTTTCTGTTAAGAACTTTTATGCGCGACTCTGCGAGAGAAAGAAGAGAGAGTGCGAGCAGAACCAGCATTATTAAAAGGACGTCAATGAGAGTCGAGTACCTAGAGAGAAAGAGAGAGAGAGAGAGAGAGAGAGAGAGAGAAAGACAGAGACAGAGGAGAAAGAGAGAAGGTGACTCGTTCCCTTTTATCCGCCCACTGTGGATCCGTGTATGATGTACGATTTCCTGTCTTATACGAATCCATACAATAATAACGAAATGTCAGGCGTGTACATGCGATTTACTATGCGTTACCATACGAAAGTACGACACTTTAGATAATGACCTACGCAAAGTGTGTGCTTTAATCCATTGCATGCATACGCGAATGGGAGAAAAAGATTTCTCTCTCACACGAAATCCGCGTAAGCAGCACTTTGAAGCATTAATGCAAAAATGTAACGTTGATGAAGACATTTTCATACACAAAGGACTAGATTAAACATAATATCTCTGCAAGCTTTGGATGTTTTTTTAAATGAGAATCAGCTATTATCAAACTTTTAATCGTTTTAACGTCGATGGGAGGCGTTTCAGTCCCTTGTATAAATTTGATCTGATGATGTAACACGCCCAATTCAGTGGGACTACCGACGGCCCGTGGAATTAAGAGTTATCGGTTCTTCAATATCTTTCTCGGCTTACATTGGGCGACTCAATACGCGCGCTTTTTCTCCCTTTCATCCTTTTATATATGCATTATCTTTCACAAGCGGCGCCGTCTAGAAAGTATTAGACAGTATTAGAAAAATCTGTTTATAAAATAATTATTCATAGCATATTATAATCTTTCGGTTCAAGAGTCGTAGAGTTAAATTATTCTGTCTGTATAGAATATGCGATGTACATGGCAATAAAAAGTTTCTCAAAAATCAGTGTATTCTTAAGATATAAGAATATTTCAAATAATAAACATGTGTCTTTAAAGACTGCAATTTCTCTCTAAAAGTTAAAATTTTTCTTTCTCTTTCTCTGTTAAATGCTCTGTATAGTTTTCATATTTATTATAACAGTTGAAATTCCGTCTTTTTTATGTCGAAATCGTGTTGGATTCTTAAATGGCAATTAAGTTTCTAACACGCTAGATTGCTTGTGACGACTTTGTTTTCCGTTAAATTATAAATATTAATAAAAAAAAATTGCTTTTTGTGACGATGAAATTATTTATACAAGTATCACAAAAATATATCTAGTACAAAAGTTGTTATGTGATATTTTATCATAAGATTCGCGTCAAGATCATCGATCTTACAATCTCGACTATCAATGATGACAGCCATTATCTGACGGTAAGATCTAAAATCGCGCGTAAACTTGTATCTCGAATGTAATTTCGAAATCATATTGATATTTTAAGATTGAATTTAACTTTTATAATATTAAATCCGAAAGTTTATGTATACAATATTTATATACATATGTATACACAATGAATTTGTTAAAGTATTCTTATATATATTTCGTTACACCGCATAAATTAAAAGCTGTATTTTGCCGTCGGTAAAACTCGTAGATCATCTCTCTATTTTCTCTGTCATTTCTTTCTAAATTTATTTAATAATTTAATGTCTAGCAAATCAACACTCTCCCGTAATGTTGTTTAAAATTTCCGTCGGTTTATAAATTTCGATCCCATCAATTCGAAATAACAATAACGGATATTTTTATTATAAATTTGATTAACGTTGATAATTTCATTACTTTTTGTATGCAGTTATTTATACTTATTGTATGTATTTTATTGTATTTTTATTGTGTATTTAAATATAAGTGTTGTATATACTAAAATATATATTACAAAATACTATTAATTCTTATAAGTAAATAGGAGAGAAGATACATTTTTTATACTGAAATCAATTTGGATAACAAAAAATTGTATATGCGATTTACGTTTATAAATATAACCATAACAAATATATATCATACTTATTAAATATTGTCTTCGCTTCATCGAGCATAAGTAAAAGATTCAAATATCATAAAACATTCATCGTCTGACGTCTGACAAAATTGATATATTGAGAAGCATTTGTCAGATATTTTTCGCACATTAAAGCAAATTATTGTTTTATTATTAAGGTGTTTGTAGCAAAGTTATAAATGTCTGAGTTATAATATTGTTGTTTTCAACGTGATTAATAGTATAGAAGGCTGTATAGCAGATAATTCGTTAGTTGCTTCTATTATTTCCTCTGTCAATATCATTACGTATATATCGCTATTTGCAGCAATTGGTTAGAAACGAATTAATTTAATTAATAATTACGAACTTAACAGCAAATAATCCGTTCTAAGAATTGCTGTTACGGGTTAAGTGAATACAAGCTACGGGTTGCGTTCGAGCTAAAGTAATGTGAGTACGTCTTGCTTAATTTTAATATTTAGTTAATAATTCTTATATTTTTCGAAATATCGAATGGACGGCTCAATTGGTAGCATCGGGTCGATCGCAATTTATGCAATTTTAAGTGAGAAATTTGGTGGTGAAGAATGAATAGCGATTTTCACTCCGATTTTTTTAACAATGATGATCCTATAGAAGCGCGTTCATTAGCGTAAACATTGACATGTGTTGGGGATATATCAGGTTAATATTGCATGAATTGCAATTCTGATATTGGAAAAGTAATTATTCTCTCACCCCCCCCCTCCACCCTCCGGGAATAATCGACATTAACGACGAAGGAGATTCTCGCGTTGAAATATGTAAGATAAGTCTATATATGTATATAATACAAAAGTTAATCGTATTAAAAATATCTAAAAAAATTTCATTGACTCTTACCATACCGTTTTGAAAGTATTTAATTTCTAAATTTATAAAATTTTGCAGGTAAACGCGTAATTTTATTCTGTAAGATATTTTCTTTTAAATTGAGACACTTATATAAGACAAATTTAAAAATCGTTATAATTACAAGGTAAACACATTCAATGAAGAAAAGCAAGAATGTTGTCAAATAAATGATGCGTGTACATCAAATGAGCATCTTATAACTTTTATTTTGTCATTTAAAAAAACATTTTTAATATCAAAATCAACAATTATTATTAGTCCGATCGAAACTTTAGCCGAAAGTGAACCAAAACACTTGGTTACGTGTCAATTTCAAACAAAACCGAAACTTAAATTAAAAAATAGAAATTCTATAAAGGCCGTATGTATCATATACATTTTTTTCTTCATAAATACCATAATTTTTTGAAACAATGATCAAATTCCGGCCGAAATTGAAAACCAAAATTTTGGTTGTGTGTCAATTTTGGCCAAAGAATATAACTACTTCCTCTTCATAAATATCATAATTTAATTATTAAAACAATAATTACACATATTAAAATTAATATTTATGAAGAAGAGTTATATGGTTTCAGTCGAAACTGACATGTAATGAGATTTCTGTAAAAATTTCAATCATACTCTAATGATTATAAATACTGACATTACAGCGAATTAGATATTTTCGAACAAACTATCTATTGATTAGAAAAAATAGCGCTAAAATCTCCTTAAGAATGTCTTTAAAACGCCTGCATTATTGATTACGATCATACAAAGGTAACCGATAACGTTTTCGTTCACGAAAGTTTGAACGTTTACGTTCGGATAACCGTGATCTCAGCTTTGCGTTTGATTTCTATCGTTATCAACAACGCGCGAAGTCCACGAAGGTCTCTCACAAGCCACATTCGCGTGGTGACAAGAAATTTAATAGCTAGTCTAGAAATACAGGTTTCGTCGTGCCGATCTTAAAACTCTTAAAGATCGATTATCATACATACAGTCGCGCGAGGAGTGTGTTTGGACCGGTGTTAATACTAGTAGCTGCACGAGTCAGTGTTCCTGCCGATAGATAGAAGAAAAGTGCGACAAAAAGGAAAGAAAGAAACGTCGAATGACTCGAGAGTGACATAAACTGTATTTCTTGCGTTTGTTAATGCGCGTGGCGTTGCAAGAAAAATCATCGGAGGAACGTCGGAAAAGACAATTCCAAATCCACTTTGAATCTTCGCGGCAAGGTGGAAGATATTCGCGGTTCTTCGCGGGGAAAAGGGGGAAGGGGAGGAAGAAAGGAAACATTCCCTTGAACCTTCCATTCGATTTCGCGTCATTCAGAATCAGTGTTGCCAGATTTGCTACGTTTCTAACTATATTGTTGTGCTGGTACCACATTGCAGACAGCAAATGAACGAGACAAACAGAAATTTATGATACCCTTTGATACTCACTTCTGGTACATTTTTGTCATTTAGTTGTACAATTTACTGTACAACTTATTGCTTCTGGTAACACTGCTTCAAAATGCTCGTCGCAAGTACTCGGGCATTACCTGACGGCGGCGGCACGTGATGATGATGATGGTGAAGATGATGATATCCCAGGGCGGGCGGTGGCGGTGGGTAGACCGCTCCCCAGATACAGGACGCAGCCGCCGCGGTCGCCTGCGCCTGCTGCTGCTGGTGATGATGATGATGGTGATGCTGCTGCTGCTGCTGCTGCTGCTG